TGTAGTAGATAGAAGTATCTGCCACTCCGGGAACTATTCAAGAGTGGTAACTGCTACCGCTTTATCTAGTCAATTTGAACAAACTTACTATTGTGATGTTATCCATGCATTGCCGAACTCCTGCATTGCGGAGCTCACTCAACAGGCTCTGTTTTCAAGCCGCCTGTTCCGCCAGACTGCCCCGCCTACAATGGAAATCCCGCCAACTTGAAGAAAAGAGAATGAGATATTCGTATATACGGTCGGTTGCAGTCTTGGAACTGCAATACACTGTGCACAGCATCATCTGTACACATAGATGAGAACATCATTTTGCTGCCCACATCTTTCCTAGTCGTAAGATTTGATGACTTTCCCGGATTTTCTCGCCTGCAAGCGTCCGGGTATCCTATCTGGCTCATTTTTGCCATTATATTACTAAATTAAAGACCTTTGGCCGAAGGTTTTCCGACAAGATCCTTCCATTTTGCTTCCACGTGAACTTGGAGCCCAACACGATTCGAAGCAGAACGTGGCCGGCTTGGGTGATAGGAAGTCATATGGGCATCGCGCATGGGACAGTGTGCAGAGACGTCTTTGCTATGAGTTTTTGAGAGGCATCAAATTCTCCTTATATACGTGAAGTCATATCAAATGAATGACTTCTCCAAGCTGTCAGGACACATGGGATCCCAAAGTGTGAGAGATGTGGGGGAACTCGTCGATGAGGTTTGGAAACACAAAAAAAANAAAAAAAACAAATCGCACAATGGAACCATCTCGGAATGCTATGTTTGTAAATGTGCTTCATGGATGAAAGCTGTGCATGTCGAAAGTGTTGGCTCACTGAAACTTTTTAAACAAATCGATTCTGGTATACCCAAGAGGCTGAGAAGACATTACTGAGTTCCGGGAGGTAAGGTTCAGTTTATGGGTACATCAGAACATGACGTCAAAACCTATCGCCACTCATCAACGGCCTCTACACATACCTACTTAGTGGTAGCAATTTCAGTCGCAGATTGCCAGCTCGAGTGGGCAATGCCGACAAGGCGAATGAAGAGGAGGAGGTGTGCTGTGGTGTGCATGAAGACGACCCAAAGGAGCATCTGAATGAATGCATTTTTGATGGAGACGCAGAGCTCGGCATTGAACCTTCGCCAGAGAACCGCCGCCCGTGCTTATTGCGGTCGTCGACGTCGTCGGTGGGCTGCGACGACGACAGAATCGCCGTCGTCGTGTCGCGACTATGTCGTCGTTGTCGCAGAATCGCTTACTGTTGCGATCGCGACTACAGCGACTCGAACCTGTCTTCGAAGACGATTCTGGAGGCAGTAGCGACAATGACAATGATATCTGCCACCAGGTAATCACCGTTTGGGCTTCTCCCTGTCTGTCGTCGTTGGCGCCGTGGCCATTCTGTTGCTTTCGTTTTCCTTTTAAGTGATTCGTTGACACTTTCTCACTCACTATTTAAGAGAAACAAGCAAAACCATTTATATTGCAGACTTTTTCTTATTCTTCACTTACAGCTTACAAGGTTCATCTACCACTTTCTTGGTACGTCATATGGATAGAAAATTTCTCTACTTTGACAGAACTTGCCAGAATTCTCTCTATCAGAATGCTGCAATTTCACAGAAGGGAGAAATTGCGCCGTAAAACACAAGCTATTCCACAAATTGCCATAATTTGTCATCGCGTGCGCAACAAAACCTCTGTCCTCTCTGCAGGTCGAGCCAAGCGATTGGCGATCCTCGGTTCATTACCAGAATGGTTTATAGTCGAGCTTATCGATCAATCAATGAAATCAGGCCGACTGATCGCTTCTTGCTGCTCTATTGGTGGCTGACCAGCTGAATTTTCAGAATTTCGACTTGATAGTCGGACTTCGAGTATTTCAACCCTGTAACCAGGTTATTCGCCGGCTTTTCTGGTGCCATATTAGGTTAGGCGACAGCCTTTTATCGCGCAACATCGTAGCCTTTTGTCCCTAAATTACACCTTTCCCGACTCGTTCCAGACGGACGGAGGGCGTGTCGACGGCGACGACGACGGAGGCCGCCGTGCTTAAATTGGGCGTGAGTCGTGATGGTGAGCTGAGAAAGAGAAAAACGATCATTGCCCTGAAACATACACGAAGGTTTTTTCATGGAACAGAATCGATGCTAAGCACATATGAGCTGCTTTGGCTGAAGTCGAATTACCACGAGACTCGCCCGACACTTCGACGTTTCAACCTCGTGAGATAAACGACGTTTACCCGGTTCGAGTTCTTTGTAATCTTGACGTCAGTCTCTGAGTCGTTCATACCGTCATCGTCTCCTACCTCTCTGCAGGATCCCCCTCTACAGATCCTTATCGGACTATGAACACCCTCTAGACGTTAATAGATTGTTGCATGGATGCTGTGCACATGCACACGCGTACGCTTCTTTTCCAGCATCTAGTTCTGAGCTATTAACGAGGCAAATTTTCAAGTGTCCATCTGAGTGCGTGTGCATTCAATCGTCTCAATGAGGCGTTTTTCAGAGTACAATTGGCATCTCAAATTCTCCACCTAGGTTCATCTCCTGGATCAATATCGTCGTCGTCGTCCTCTCGAAGAGAAGGAGAGTCAGTCTTCTCTCTCTTGTGTGTCTGTGAGGGCTCAGAGAGTCTCATCTATTTCTGCTCGCAGATGTCATTGTGGGGAAGTCAAATTATCTCTGGCGTATTGTTGTCCATCAGTCATGTTTTCCTAGGCCATCACAGGCACATGGATGCTTCCAGTTTCTCGGCTTTCATCATGAATACTCACCACGTACCCCTATTACGAATTCATATGGTCCATTCGTCGGGGTTCTGGCCGGCGGATGGGAATGCAATAGAAGCTGTAGCTTTGGTCGTTTACATATTTTTGTGGATCATTGCCATCGTTTCGGAGTTCTTTGCTTTGTCGGTGATTCCATGCAGCAGTCGGTTTATGTGGAACATCTCGTTTTTCTAATATTTTAATGTGTTTCCTTGAATCGTTACAGTTTGCTGTGAGCGCCCAGAAATCTCCCAGTCCTAACCTAAGCTAAGAAGTGAGCTGCCTCCTACTGATTCCCGGTCTCCAAACCGTGGAGTGAGGCTGTCTTACTCTGGTTGTGGGTAGTTGGCATTCTGATTGTCACTGACGTTTCTGGTGACTATTACAGAGTGTTTCTTGCAGCCTCCTTGAGTTCATCGTCGAAAATCGTAGTTTTCGTACCTAATTCATCCAATTCTTCCCTTTTTTCTTTTTTTCTCTCAGCATACAGCGTGTGATGTGGGTGTTGTTGTTTATTGTTGATGTTGTCAATACTTTCTGCCGATTTTGTTTCTCGTCATTCATTTGTAGAAAGTTAAGTAAACGGTCGTTTCTAGGAAGTTCGTTCTAATTTCTCAATGAGGCGCGAATTGACCGTTGAGCATAGAATTTGCCAAACGGTTGAATGCACATCTGGAAGGATGTAACTACAGGTGCAAAAGCAAAAACGCTGTCAAAACTATGGGTTTAAAGTGGAAATCCTATTCACGGACCGTTTAAAGTGGATGTTTCGTTCACGAGCCGTACATTATGTGAATGGCTATGGGTAGTCGTGATGTGAACGTCTTCACTTGCCTCCGATGCCAGAGCACGGTCCAATATTCCCCATCGAACTCGATTCCACGATTTTCTTGGATTTCTGCTACTTGAAAACCTACTCATCGCAAGCATTCTTCCGTGTTGTTGTCCAGAACACCCCTGGTAGGATTTTTCTTGTGGGCAAGTAAGTTCGGGAGAACTCTTGAGTGGGGGAATTAGTTAGTTGTGTGTTGATAAAGGATTCTGCTGGAGTTTGACGTGCATCGTGAAACTTTCCCTTCTCTGTAGCCATAGCCGTCGTCGCCTCTAGGGTCGTTAAGCTTAGAAAAAACGGACGCGAAGATCTCTCCAACGGCACTTACTCGACGCCCTCTTATGTGGGGGGATAATAAGGAAATCCGTTCGATCCACTTTCACATTTTCACTCTCTTCGTCGACGGCTTCTAGAAGAGTTCTCCCACGAAGTTGTCGATCCAAACAACTCGTCGTCGTAGCCTCCCATCTAGACGATGATTCCTATTAACTATGAATGAGTAGCGCAGTCCGTAGGAGTAACAGCAGCAGCAGCTGTTGCATTCATCGTCATGAATGTCGTCGCCGATGTCGCCCAACTACTCTGCCGTTGTCTTCGTCCGTTGTCCGAATCGTTCGAATTATTCTACAAGGGGGGATGTCTTGGGAGCACGCAAATACCTTTTTCCTTGACAATTTCTTTCTGCCTTTCGTCTCAATCGAATTCCTCGACAAGACGGGCTCGCTCGTTTGTCGTCGTTTGCCCATCTGCCCCGTTATCTTGTCAAGATGTTCATTCTATATGCTGATTGCTGTGAATTCTTTTTTCGTCGTAAAGTAGCAAGAGCTGTGTGGAGAACCGTTTGAGAGAGAGAACTTGTTTTGGCATAGTTCCAATAATTCTCCCACTATTTACTTTCACCCACGGTTCTCATCAATGTATAGTTTGAGTCCCCCCATATATCTTATGTGTGCGTGTCCCAAGTACCAATTTATCCGTCCACAGTCGTCGTCAACAACACCACAACTTATTATGGATAAGGGTCTGCTCTCATTCTGCACATTCCACCATCATCTCAATCATCGTCTTCTGTGGGTGTGTGTGTATGGGTGTATCTGTCGTATACGTCGCGTCGCACGGTTGTTACCAACTTGATCGACGACGGCTGAGGCAGTTGTGAATTGGTAACTGAGAAGGGTGTGTGTGTGTATAGCTCCCAGAGCTACTCCCATACTCTCATGCATAGTTTTGTGAGTTGTTGATGACTTTCTGCACGCCATTTGGCGATATGTCATTCATTCCTGATGGCTGCTGATGGTTTTTGCTTGTTTCTTTGTCTCCCATAACCAATTTGAGCCCAAGTGAATAAGGAAGTGTCAAATAGCTTTTAAGGTGGACATAAACAAATTTGACCAACTACGACACTGCTAGCGTTGCCACTTTGCCAACGTTCAACAAATTCCGCTTGTCACGGCGCCGACGACGGGACACGCCAGCCCGGCGTGGTTCAAAAGCGACGGCGTGTCGTCGGCGTATGTTGGATGGTGCTGGTGGCTTACAGAGTCGACAACTTCTACCACCATCGCCGTCATCAGTTGCCGCCGCCGGAGGCGCCACGGCCGTCACGACGGCCTCAACGCTAACGGCGACGTCGACGTCGACTCGTGGCGCCATCGGGCGCCGTCGGGCGTCGGCGTTTGTACGCCGCGTCTCGATGGCCATTCCGACGCTCACCGCCGATCCGGTTCCATTTTCAGCGGTAAGTAATTGGACTATACAATTTGACATTATTTTTGTTCACGTACTGAGGTTTTTTTTCTGGAGGTGTAGAACCTTCTTCCACTTCAACCTTTTAGTTTTCACTTTTCAAACTTATTTCTACCCCTATTTATTCGTTCCGATTTCCGATTTCCGACTGGGAATGGGAAAGTTCTATATGTTAACAGTCGGCGGGTGACCAACCCTCGGTCCGAACAAAAAGTTAAGTACCGTAGGAGTAGGATTATGGTTATAACGAAAATCTCATGAACTCTAGTAATTAGTTGTCTCGCTAGAGATCTAGTAACGTCATGCTAGCCATAGTACTCATTACTCAACCCCATTTTCTTTTATATTGCATTTATTTGCGTTTTAATGACATCCATAGAGTCTCTTTATTAGGATGGCATTAATTAGCTCGCGTGTGTGTCCAATTAAGAGGAATCGTGATTGCTATGACACTCCGTCAGTCGACAGCTTCTCTATTTTCTGCATCATTTCATTCGTTTCAGATTTCAATTCTGCACTCCGTATTGCATTTGTTTGTCGTAGACCTCAGAAAAATATGTCTGAATCTATTCTTGGTTTACTACAGAGAACTTCCACTGAATAAGGAAAAAATCGGGGAAGGGAGTAGATTGATATCCTTCAGTGTACGCGAAACCGTTTTTGTGCTACCGTATATATGGTAGTTCTGGATAAATGAAACATTCTTGGCTAAAAATTAAGCTGACTATAGTCCATGGTGACCGCAACGCAGCCGCACGCGTCGGTATCGAAATTGTCGTGTTTTCGATTTCTGGTCATACGCGAAGCAGCAACGCCAACTGGTTTGATCCTTTCTAAGCTTATTTTGGTAATAAACTTGCTCAAATGATGCCGAAATCGTAACATATGCGTAATTAGTTTGTTTGGTTCGGTCGCAACGCACCAGGACGCGTAGTTTCTGCGCAAAGTATAGCCAAACTCGTACTGGAATAATATTGCAATTCTACCTTGCAGTTACAGTATCAACACCGTATCCTATTTCTATTTCTATCGGTAGAAGGAATCCCCCTGAGGACAAGCATTAGGTTGGTTTTTGGTTCGCTTTTCTTTGGCATGTCGAATATAGCGCCGACAGAAGACAGATAGTAATGTACGTCCCCGGTGGTCCCCATGATAAGTGGCTCATCCTTCCATTATCCTGCCTTCAAAGAAATGCCCATAGAAATCCCTGGGTTCGCACATATTTAGTTTGTTTCGTGGAATTTTGCACTTTTCACATTCAAACGGCCAAAAACTAACTGGAACAAAACTCTGTTCCCATTTCTCAATTATTCCCACGTAGAACGGCCATTTCTAATGCTTTTCCAATATCGAGGTAGAACAGCTGCTATCACTTAGTAATTTTCTTAAGTTCAAAGCTAATTGAGGGGTCCATAAGTAATCTCACATTCTGGGTAAAGTTTTTGCAAAATTGCGGAGGCAAACTGCAAATTTAGCTCCGCCTCTTCAGTTTGCCGTGCCTTTGAAATTTGCATACAACTTGAACATTACTTATTTCACTTTTGCCTACGGTAATGCTGGTAAAATAATAAAATTTATTGTATTATCCATAGCATAGGCCTGAAAGTGGGCATATCCATATTCTCAAAGGATGCCTGAGACATGGCGTAATCCACTTCAATCGATTCTCAGCTAATTCTTCGTACACGTCTTTTTCACCGTAGAGTTAGGGCCTGAACGGACTTTTGAAGCCATCAATTTTATGCTCTCGTTAAGAAAACCGTGCACATATTGCGTTTTTGACCCCGCCTCTTCTCGCCTACAATTATTCATAGCTAAATGGTTGCAATAACAGAAGCTTTGGTTATATTCCCTAGTGGTATCTGCTATTTTTGCTGCAACTGGAAGAGACCAAAAACCAAATATGTTCGACAGAGTTTCCATGTCAAATGCACGGCGCAGTCTGCCTCTGGCTCAGCAACAAACGATTGCTTCAAGTAGTAGACTTGTATGGGAGGGCAAAATATAAGCTGGACTACGTTGTGATCTCTGAAATCATCTAGAGTTTAATAATAACTCACGATAATGTGATATATTTAATAGTAACCCAAATTACGATGCAATACGATCACTCTTATTGTTTTTCCTTGCTCTAGATTCTTCATTTCAAAGGGCATCTCCTGCAGTAACTACTAAGTAACGCTTCCCAATCGGACGATTCCCTTCTCGCTACTTTTTTTTGTCGTTTGGAATTTAGCCCGTATCCATTTACCCATGGTTTGCTGAATTTCTAAGTGCAACGGATGTCGGATGTCATTCCCAAAAGTGGTCAATCAGTTTTTTAGACATTTTTTTACGAATAGGCCTCGTTTTTGAGAAACTTCAGCATTGATCCCATGAGACATCGGGATGCGTAATGTGAGCTGCTAAGCAGTGGCCGGGTCGATTACGTCTAGTTCTCTTCAGCTTTCTATTCTATCTGGTTACTCCGCTTACCATAATTAGTCGTCAACACTCCTATTCAGCCATGGTCTCTCTCTCTCGTTCAACAAATCGCGCACGATTTTTGCAGCCTCGTACACCCATACATATTTGTCGCTCAGATTTCCGTCCGAGAAATCCGCCGCCGATCTGCCGCGATTGCGCGCCCCGTCGTTCTGGTCGTCAACCGCTTCCGGTAGTTGTCACTCGTGGTTGCTGTTTTTATCCGTCGTTGGGAAACGACCTCCATCGTACTTCACTATTACTTTGGTGCATAATTTATTCCCAGAAGGGATATGGTACCTGACTCCCTGAGCTTTTCGGGCTTCTCTTTCTCGCTGTATGACATGGTATAATGGCAATTTTAGCTAAAATAGCTGTCCATCAAAGGTAACATGGTGTCAGTGGTGACAGTTGCTGGCCATTGTTATAGCTTTCCGATTACGCCAAAAGTGCATTTAAGATCGATCGTTTCTAGAAATTTATTCACGTACTTACTTATTACTGCTTGACAGCTAACTACAAAGTAGTTGGTTGCCAAGCAGTAGTAAGTAGCGCCTTAGCCGGTGTTCACTGACTTCAATTCAAATTCAATCTGTTTTGCCCAAATACGTTTCAATTCAATCGTAGAACTTACAGAATTTGCATAAAACATGCACTCCCCTGACCTGAACCCCTTTTTTTCAGATTACTTATGGAGTATTAAGTTATGGAGGCAAAGGTGGCCTTAGTAATTGGCTCAGAAATTCTAATGTTTATACTTTATTGCGGGGATTTCATTTGATTCGAGGTGGAAATGTTGTTGTATTTGGCGGAAGTGGTGTAGCGGGAAAAGCCGCACTACCACATTCTGCATGGTCCAGGTTCGAACCCCGGATCCCCACTCGCCCATGCCAACGAAACCTTCTATTCATCCAGAGTCGGCTATGCTGGCAGTCACGCTTAAGAAAATAAAAGCACTGGCTCATACGTGGACGTGTAAACTCGGCTCTTTTGGGTGTGTACGGCGGCTAAGCTAGTTTTGGGACTCAAATTACCCTTCATCTAGGCCGAATTCCAGCCCGGCCGCGTTCCCTGTACTATCCTTATGGTCCACTAGTCATTTTGTAGATTATATATTTGAAACATCATTACGATTCTGATTATAAGTGAAATGCCCGGCATATCCTTTAAACGGGATTGATTGGTGCCATGAGTCTTATCCCTCCCTTATGTCTTTTTTTTTTNTTTTTTTTTGTTATTTCTGCTTAAATTAGCATAACGTTATCTAATTAATTATTATATTACTATATAGTTGAATAATTTCATGCTATCCAGAAAAAACAGTTTTCATCTCAAATGAGTATTCTATGCCCTGTTATGACTGCGACGCAACCGCACGCGTCAATTGAACATAATCTGAAATTTTTACCTTGGAACCGAAACAGTTGGGTGGCATTGGATGTGGCAAAACTTATTTTTACCTACGTGTTACAGCCCACAGTGCGATTCTTTAATCATTTTTTCTGCTGCGAATATGATATGATTTGTAGCTGTCGCGACGTGATCGCTCGCGCCACGATGCTTCGCCCCCTCAAGTGGCGCTACAAAATACAATAGCTACAATTTATTTGTTCAAAACAACTTTTTTTTCTTACTAAATACGGTCAATATTGTAAAACTTGCCTGGGCGACGAAAACTTCAGTTTACTTGCATTGTTGTAGCCAGAAGGCCCTTTGACTAATCGTTATGAACAAGCCTGAAAGGAAGAAACTCTTCTTGTCCACGGAATTATTGATTTTCTCGAGAGGGTAAGGTCTTTCATCTAGCCTTGTCAATGTCGTCCCCTATATCTTGCCCTTACCCTCGGGACTGAAGCGAACGTCAATCATTCCCTTGAAACTCGGTATCGACATCATCACTGCCTATGAACACCTGGACGAGTTTCGCGGCCCTGGACAAACATCAAATTCACCTGTTCTAGGCAGCGTTCTACCAATTGGCCTGCCTGTTATCAGGCCGACAACTTGGATTAATTTGGTTATTTCCGCAATTAAGGCGGGGATGGTGTGGAGGCAAGTGGCGCACTTCACACACGCGTGGTCACGGGTTCGAATCCCGGATCGATATAAGCCTAGACCAACTAAGCCTTCCATCCCTCCGGGGTCGGTTGATTGGTACCAGACTTGTTTGGGAGGATGAAAGCAGTGACTAGTACATCGGCTGGCCACCGCAAGTCATTGTATAGGCTTCACACACATTCAATCCCCCACTATAATTTTGAATGGAAGTCGAATGCGGAGGCGCTTCCCCCTGATGGGATTGATTAACCCCAAGCCCAAGACTTTATTTTTTTATCCTTTATTTCTAGAATTTCTCAATCAATAATGACGTCCACAGGAAATTGTTTCGCACTTTGAAAATTCGATGTTAGAGACTTTATATAAAATCGGATAAAAAGTCGAGCCTAACATTCATGTAATTCAAATTCATTCGTGGAAGTGGTGCTGGCGGTTTGAAAAAAAAACGTTGCAAACCACTTTAACATGAATGCGATAAATGGACGTTACTTGAAAGCTGG